GAGAGAGAGAGAGAGAGAGAGAGAGAGAGAGAGAGAGAGAGAGAGAGAGATGCGGAATATTCGGGCGGTTGCGTCAGCTTGTTAAGAAAAAAGATACGGATAGAGAAGTATCTTGTCATAGAGCGCGTTCTTTTCGGCCGCGGCGCCGTTCATATATTGGCGTATATTTTCAGCGCGATTCAACAATCGCGCGACCATCTTGATTCTCGATCTTTCTGCATCGAGCAACCGCCGTGGACATATCGATCGTCATCGCTGCGCGTTTTACGCGTCTTTAACCCGTCGAAAGTAAATCTCGCGCGGAAATAAGTATCGGGAGTGTCGAGAATAGCGATGTGCAATCGCCGGGGCATATCGTGAAGACGTTATTTGTAAGTAATCTTCTCGTTTCTCCTCATGGTATATGTAAGATGACTAGATTTCCCAGTCCTGAATTCGGGACACTTCATAAATGTGTGAACCGGAGGGAGGGGGTAAAAAGATCCGAAAATTATTTGACAATCATTGAAAATGATGACAAATCGGTGTCCCGAATAGCACTCGAAAAAATTCGGGACAAATGATGAAAAATCGGGACGTCTAGTTATCTTACATTAATTAGTTGTCACCTGAAACTTGAATCTCATGAGTTTCTCAAATTTTTATTCAAAGTTAGATCCAAGTTTTTTCCAATTATTATGATGTGTAACATTTGTATCTATAGTCGTAATGCAATTCAAGAACTTTCATTTAACTCTGAATTCAAATCTGAGTACCTCACTTGAAACTTGTCCCACATGAGATACTCGGATCTGCATTTAGAGTTAAATTTGCGTTTTTTACTTGAATCATATAATACATACGACATTAGGTTTGTGATCGCGATTCAATTGCTAAACAAATATATCAAACTCTAAACCATATTAATAATTGTCCGAAACGTATCTTATGTGTGAGATACTCAGATTTTTATTCAGAGTCAAATTAAAATTTTTCAGTTGAATATGATATATGTAATATTTATATCTATAATCACACGATTTTACTGAAAAACTCCCATTTAACTCTAAATTTAGATCTGAATATCTCACTTAAGGTAAGTTTTAAGTAACGACTATTAATACAAGCTTAAATTTAAATCTGATTAAATTTCAACGACTATTAATATAGGCCCGTATTAATAGTTATTACTTAACATTTGTGTCTTAAACGAGATATTCAAATTCGAATTCTGAGTTAG